TTCTTACACTACAATTAAGGTTCAAATTCTCTAATCCAATATGTTAGTGGAGTAGTTGTTTTTTTCCATTCTAAAATAAGAAACAAGGAAACTATGCACCAAAAGCTAAGGCACAAATTCTGCTGTAACTTTTCATTTCATTAATGAAAACTTATGTTTACTTTAAAAAAAGAAAACAAAGAAATGGGGAACAATGCATCAACTGATACCCAAGCCAAAAGGTTTACAAGAAGGCATTCCAATTGGCTTTGATTGAAAGAAAATTATGAATGTACACAAATTTCTTCATACGGGTATGAGCTTGATTTAAGTGGATCATGAGATCCGACAAATTGGAGAGCTTTTTTGTAACCCGCCTGTGGGTTCTCATTCTTTTTTGTAATCATCTCTCCCTCCTTTTTTCATTATATCAATGAAATCGTTTCGTTTAAAAAAAAAAAGTGGATCGTGAGATCCTGTAGAGCTTGGTCACGTTCCAGAAGCTGCTGGTCCAATAATGCATTAGAGGATTTTTTTTGTTTATTTATTTATTTTAATAAGAAATATGGAACAAGTCATTCGAAAAGAAAAAGGTGGTGGACAGCGTAGGGGCAGGGGTGGATGTCACCCTCAAAACAAACTAAATCAATGCCTTCCATTCATACAAAATCTTGAGGAGACTAAAATTACAAAAGAAATCCTTGTGGCTCGAACACCACCCAGAAGAAACATGCCATACATTGCCGCACAAAAAAACCTCTCTAGAAAAAGAATCATAAAGAACATGGTTGTTTCTTTCTTTCCAAAGCAGTCACAAAATAGCCCTAAAGTAAAGACATAACTTCAAAGCACTTTCGCCTTGTTCTTAAATCGCAAACCAAACAATCCTTCAGTCAACCAGCTATCAATACAATTAGGAAGGCAGCTCGGAACATTAAAAAACCCATAAGGCAATACCACCAATTCCTTGCGAACGAGCATAGAATGAAGAGATGGTTCAAAGACTCTTCTGCCCCATAACACATCCTGCAAATGCAAGGCGAGATGGACCAATTTGGAAGCTTTCTTTGAATTCTATCCGAGGTGTTTAGGCTTCTATAGCAAAGGGTCCAAAGAAAGAACTTGACCTTCCTAGGAATCTTGAAGTTCCACATAGCTTTGATAAGAGGAGCTTGAAAACTGCTGCTTGAGGGGAAAGACTCGAGGAAATAGAACTTACAAGTGAAAGAGTCGCGAGTGTCCAAGTTCCAATTCAATCTATCTTGACCCACCCCAACTTTACAGCACTCAATTCTTTGTGTGAAGGCCTAACTTCTCTATCAAAAAGGCCTCTATGGAGACCCAAATCTCAAGACTAATTGGAAGCATTCCAACAAGAAGCTATTAGGCACCTTTCTTTGATGTGACTGCATAAATGTCTGGGAAGGAGGAAGCAAAAACGAACTCTTTCCCCATTATCAGCTTTAAACATAGAGAACCTTAGGAATTGTTTTTCAGCTTATCTACGACCTCCTTGCAAGATGAGTAGACTTCTCAACTTATCTAATTTCTTCCTTTGTATTTCTGCCATAGGCTTCCAAAAACCAGCCAAATTTTGATTACCGCTGAGGGGAAGCCTAGATAGTTGAAAGGAAACATCTCCATTTTACACCCAAGAGAGCTAGCAGTGGAATCCACCTCCAAAGTGCTAAAACTTAGACCAATAAGCGCTGTTTTCGAGAGATTTAAAGACACACCTGAGCCATAGAGGAATAAATTCAGAATGAGCCACCTACAGTTGTCCTATGGTGCGAATTCTGTGGATTAATGCCATTAAAGAGTTTTCTTTCGGAAATATGGTTTGAGAGGAATATGCGGATTTTTAAGAGTAAACGTAGATCTTTAATCGATTGCCTTTCATCTGCCAAGCTCAAAGCATCTCACATCTCACTGGTGTTCCATTTCCGAGCCATTCTCACACTACTCCCCTTCTCTTATATTTAGTAATTGGGATGCTTTTATTTTTTCTGTTTAGCTGGCTTATTTGGTCTCTGTTTTATGCTTTCGATTTATGTATTTGTATCTTTTAAATTTTATGTTTTCCTTTCACTCCTTCGCGAGTTTGTATCCTTGAACAATTTTTGTTCCTTTTCATTTCATCAATGAAAAATTCGTTTTTGTTCAAAAAAAAAAAATAAATTTCAGAATGAGCCACCAGAATCTTAACATATTGATTGAACCAGGGCAAAAAATAAGAGTGCCATTAGAGATTTTTCAATGACCATAGTATGGTCCTTGTTCTATCATCTTGAGATCTGATGTTTATACTTGAGTGTAGGCGACAATCCTTTACATTGCAATCTTCAAGCTCAGATTAAGATATTAGCAAGATGATTTAAATGGAATTAGTTTTCCCGCATTCGTATTTGTAGTCTTATTATGGTTTAATGTAAGGATGCTGTGTCTTCTTTTATACTTGTGAGAATTATGAAAATTATTCTACTTCTGATTAACAAAATGCTTTTCTTCAGCTTTTTTGTTTTTTGGAGCTTCCTCTTGCGTATGGGTATGCTGTAAAAAAGGGGAAAAATATGTGTGTATTTATAATTTATGCATGCATGTACGTATGTGTGCTTGTATGGGGTATTTAATTAGAATATTTACAATTTATGCATGCATGTGTATGCTTGTATGTTTGTGTATATATAATTAAAAGTCCTAAAAGTTTAGGTTGCGGCATTTTGTGAAGTCTCACAAATTGGTATCTTTACAGGTTGCTTCATATGAATTCACTACTCTAACTTGCATCCCTGGTGTAATTGGGTACAGAGGAGCTAAAATTCAGGTGCTGTCATTCTTTCAGATTCCTGCCATTTTCATGTGCTTTATTACTTCACTTCTATTTAGCAACGAGGGTTAATATTAGAACTCATTTTCCTTCTCATATGATAATTTTTGTCTGTAGTTTCTTTATTTTATGGTTACTTTTTTTCCATTTCTGTAAAATCATTTCTGAATTGAAATTGTATATTGCTTTGAATGGCAGTTACTGGATCTCCCTGGTATTATCGAGGGTGCGAAGGACGGAAAGGGAAGAGGAAGGCAGGTAAAACGTAAACAGAGATAAATTTGATATAATGAGATGCTCGTCCTTGTTCAAAAAAATCTTTCTCCTTTTTAACGTATTATCTCTGTAACTATCTCTCATGAACTTACCTTTCTCCCTGACATATCTCTTTCTTCCAAACTTTTCTGCTCTCAAATTTATGTCTCTCTCAAAGTTTTCCCCTCATTTTAATGTTCTTTTTCCTCTCTCTAGATTCTCTCTTTTCAAAATTTAATTTTCTAATCTCTTTTACTCACTAAGTTATCTTTCTCTCTCTAACTTTTATCTCTCTCTTTCTATAACTTTTATCTCTAAAACCTTTCTCTCTAATATATCTCTCTCTATTTCCATTCCTCTGTAACTTCTCTTTCTCATTCTAACTTATTTTTCTTTCCCTGACCTCTCTATTTTTGTAACTTTTCTCTAAAATTTATCTTCCTTTCTCTCTGTTTGAAGTTTGTATCTGTTGGACATTTTATTTTCTTTTTATTATTTCCTAGAAGTTTGTGTCTGGTTAAAATTTTTTTTCTTTATAACTAACTAATTTTTTGCTCTCTAACATATCCATCCCTCTTAACTTTTTTCTCTCTAAACTTTCTCTTTAAATTTTCTCTCTAAAGTTCTCTCTTTCTCAATTTTCTTGCTAAAAAATTTCTGAAATCGTCTCTATAATTTTTCTGTTCTTCTCTTTAACATATTTTTCTCACTCTTGCTTATATCTCTATTTCTCTTTATAAAGACAGAAAATCTATAATGTTATACTATTATATGTTTGGTTTTCTGTTTTCAAACAAAAAATTGATGCCAAATATATGTGGTTTTTGTTTTTTGATAGTGGAAAACCAAAACGTAAAAAAAAAGAACAAAAACCAAAATGATTATTAAAGGGGCCTAAGTAAATTATATTTAATTCTTTGCCATCTCAAGGTGAGTGAAAACAAGATTTGAGATTTTTCAAGTGAAAGTGAATAATTAGTTGTATCATGGCATGGGTTTGTATGATTCAACTTATGTGCTAGTGGGGGGAGAGGTGCATTCTGTTGCATTCCTATGCTCCCTTAACTTATTCCTTCAATGGTACATGTTCAATGTAGGTTATCAGCACTGCCAGGACATGCAATTGCATTATAATTGTTCTTGATGCAATAAAGCCTATTACGCACAAGCGATTAATAGAGAAAGAGCTTGAGGGTTTTGGTATCAGGTAAATTTTTGGTGGTTTGAAGTTTAGCATGTGATATATCTCGAGTGGTGTGCCAAAAAGGTTTTATATGTATATTTTATCCAGACCAAGTCTGTCCCTTAAAACCAGCTTGCTGAGTATGACCTTTTGGTGTTGACTGGAACACTGGACAACACTTTCCTTGTCAACCAAGATATTACCTTAATGCTCAATATGATGCTTACAAGGTAAAAAAAGGTGGACAAAAATAGGTGGGATAACTTGTGCCGTTGGAAACTACTAAAACACAATGGTTAATCTCAGACTTCTCCATTGATCCATTTGTTACCATTCTAGCTTCCGCTTATTGTTATATCCTCTAGCACCACCTTTTGGTCGTATTGTGACCTTTTGGCCTTGCCTTTGATTGCTTGTCAGCCTTCATTGTTCAGTAAAACTTGCAGTTATAGGAACTTTCGTTAGCGAAAAATTGAATGTTCTCAAGTTCAGTTTCCTGAGTTTTTCTTAATATACCACCTTCATTTTATTAAAATAAAATGCTAGGAGAAAAAGGAATCTAGATATCCACCCCAGTCAATTAACAACTTTGAGATTTCAAAGATTGTCTCCGATTGGATAATATCATAATTACGAGAATGACAAAAATCCATTGTGATTTAGGAGCGTAAAGATGTCAAAAAGTGAATTCTCTACACTTGTTTTTAAAAACAGGAAACTTGTGGAAGGCTACGAAGAATAAAATCTACAAAATCAAAATTACATAATAGGATCACACCCTTAATTTTTCTAAATTGGAGGGCCTCCCTTCAATATTTTTCCTATTCCAAAGTATGGACTTAATTGCATTGACCCAAAGTTCCGTTACTTTTCTCTTAAAAGGGTGGCCACATATGACATAACCATGGAATCAAATTTCCAATCAAAGGACGCTGGTTGACCAAATACAATTTGAGAATTTTTTCTGAGAAACCCAAATATTCTTACTAAAGGAACAATGGAAGAAGAAATGGTCTATTCCTTCAGATGCTTCCAAGCAATGAAAACAAGGAGGGATTTAAGGGTGTAGAAGGATATCTACTCTGTAATCTTACTATTGTATGTTGGGCCAAAAAGAAAAGCTGTCCAAACGAATACTTCAACCTTTCTATGGCCGACAGCTTCCCAAATTGCCAAGGAAATATCTTTGCTAAGTTTCTACCCACCTTTGTTTGGTAATAATAGTAAAGTGATTGCTCTGGGAGAATCTTAAGAATGTAAATTCCATTGTCTCCCATCATTTGCAGCCCCTAAATTTTTTGTTTTCCTGCAACTTAAAGAGCTCGACATGCTCGTTGAATTCAACAGCTAATTACTCTTAGGGTGCTCATTCAATAGTTATAAAACATTTTTTTGGGGGGTAAGAAACGATTCATTAAAAGATAAGACAAAAGAACAACCTAAGGACAAGGGTCGAGGAGGCCCCTTCCACAAAACTATCAAAGAAACGCTCCCCAATCTTGTAATATCGTTGAGAGGTTGTAATTACAAAAGAATTTCGTATTTCTATGACACCTGAAAACTATTAAAAAAAATCCCGAACTCAGCCTTATCTTTGAAAGAGCGAGGGTTCCTTTCCAACCAAATGCTCCATAGCAAAGCTCTAAAAGCACAGTTCCACAAAACTTTAGACTTGCCTTTAAAGTTCCACCCATAAAAACATTCTAAAATCCAGTCTTCAATGTTCCTGGGCATACAAATAGATATACCAAAACAGCCAAACAATCTCTGCCACCCCTGTAGAGAAAAGGACAGGGAAGAAACAAGTGGTTTAAAGATTCAGCCTCCCTCAAGCACTTAGGGCATTTCCTTCTGAGCTTTTTGTGAGTATTTAGAGATCTATGCATGAGAGATCATAGAAAAACCTTCACCTTCTTTGAGATAAGTTATTTCCAAATAAAGGTGATCGAGGGGTTTATAAGCTTGGGTGCTCCCAAGGGGCAGTCCAGTTGGCAAAGACTTGGGGTCTCTTGGTCGTACTGGCTTAGAGGTCTCAAGTTCTTCTGGTGAACTTAATACCAAAAACCCTTGATGTGTTCCAAGTCCGAGTCTTGGGGCAGGCACAGGTGCCCCTGGGTATAGGGG